AAAAAAAAAAAAAAAAAAAGATTTTTTAATGGCACACCTGTATAGAGCAGTTTCATTATAATCTTATGGGACCAGCATCATATATATGGTCTGGTTTTGACTGAAATGTTATACAGTACATGACTGTGTACTGATCCTTGATTTCTATCCTAAGATTCTCTGACTTAATTGAAATGGGATGGAATTTGAGCATCAGAATTTATAAAAAGCTTCCCAGGTGGTTCTAATGTGAAGTCAGGGTTAAGAACCACCATCCTAGTATGTATCAGCTATCCACAGCCACAAATATGCTGTGTAACAAAACAACTCAGTGGGCCAGGCACTGTGGGTCATGCGTGTAATCCCAGCATTTTGTGAGCCCAAGGTGGCAAGATCACCTGAGGTCAGGAATTCAAGACCAGCCTGGCCAACCTGGTGAAAACCTGTCTCTACTAAAAACACAAAATTAGCCAGGCATGGTGGTGCACACCTGTAGTGCCAGCTACTCAGGAGTCTGAGACAGGAGAATCGCTTGAACACAGGAGGCAGAGGCTACAATGAGTCAATATCACACCACTGCACTCCAGCCTGGGCCAGGAAACAAGAGCGAGACTCCATCTCAAAAGTAAAGAAATAAATAAATAAACCGCTCAGTGGCTTAAAGAAATACACAATACACATTTCTGTTTCTTGTGAGTCTACAGGCTGGTGCTTTAGGCTGGGCTTAGCCAGGCAGTTCTTCTGGCCTTGGCTGGGCTCTCTCACTTGTCTGGGACTGGTTGACTTGTCTGGTTGACTGGAGTGACTTGCGTGTGCTGCACAATGCATCCTCCTGCCTCTCAGCCCTAGCACGTTTTCCTGGCAATTGCAGAGGAGCAGGGGAGGAGGCAGGAACATACACTTTTCCAGCTTCTGCTAATATCACATGGGCCAAAGCAAGAGCGTGGCAGAACTCAAAATCAAGATGCAGGAAAATCGACTCTGTTCCTTGAGCAATAGAACCTGCAAAGTCCCAGGACAAAGAGTTTGGATACAGAGCAGGGTGAAGAATTGGAGCGGCACCCCAGGTTAACAGGGGGACTCATGCTGTGTGAGTCAGAGTGTGCCCTCTTAGGCCTAACTTATGTTCAATAAAACCAGCAGAGAATGGTTCTCAGCACGGATGTTGAGATTATGCTGTGGAAGGGGAATGCTCTCCACACAGGTGTTGAGACACGTAGAGGAGCCCCAGCCCCATCCCAGCTCCCTTTCTGAGGTGATTTCCCATGGACTATTATTGCAAGCCAATCAATTGGTAATAGCTGTGTGGAATACTGTGTTAAGAAGGATTCTGAGGTCCCATCCAGACTCATGAGAATGAATATCACAATTGATTAGCAATGTCCGCCATGGCCGTGTGAGGGGTATGCTGGCATTTTCCAACTACATTTGCTGTGGGGGATGAAACCCTTTCCACAACCTGCTCCCTTCACCCTTTTCCTAACACCTTTCCACCTCCTTTTCTCGCTCCCAGCCTCTGTCCTCACCTTTTCATTCCCACAGTGGCGTCAGGACAGAACACCCTGGCCTACGCACACAGGCACACCTCCTTGGTCACACACACCCCCAGCCCCTGCACACCACTGCAGTATTCCTACCAACGACATGATGGAACACTGTGGTGATTTCATCCTGGCAATTATAGCAAATTAATATTTATAAGTGAACAGAAAGGGTCCCTGGTAGCAAATTCCCTGGTGTCTGTGTGTCAGAGATACACATCTGATGAGCGCTATCTGCCAGAGGGGTGTGCAGGGCACAGAAGGCGCCGCTATCTACAGAGAGCTGCTCCCGCTGGTGGGGCAGGAGCAGGGATTAGCGCCACCTCACCCATGCCCTGGTGCTCACTGTTGAAAAGGAGACAAGATTCCTCATTAAGATGCATGCTGGGGGCTTTAGACACATTCTAGGATAATTTATTTCATTCATAATTAAATTATCAATGGGGGCCCCCAGGGAACTGAGAAAAAGGGGCTGGCTTGATAGGAGCAATGGGTGGAAGGGAGGGGCAGGGCTGGGCCAGTCAGAGCCATAGCAAAAGCCTCCATTGAAACCAGGGTGTGTGGCTGAAAAATAGAATCCAGCCCCTGCCCGAGAGTTGAGTTCTGCTGTCTGTGTCCTCCAAGAATTCCGCCAGCTTCTTTCTGTGTGGGCTGCCTCTGAGGTGCAGTGCCGCAGGTTAGAAACCCTGCTGGGTGCCAGGAAGAGCACCCAGGACGGTACAGTACAGTACAGCATCATCCCAGGAATGTCTGTCAAGCGGACGGATACTCTGGAGAGAGCCACAAGCCCAGGGACCTTCCTTCACTGCCTGCTGGGGTGGCAGAGAGGACAAGTCAAAAGGCATCTCTGCCTCCTGCTCCACTCTGTGTTTAAGACTTGAACTCTGGCCCTGGATCCCAGTCCAGGGTGCTTCCCTCCAGGCACCAGTTAAAGCAGTGCCACCTGCAACCGCAGATAGAGCCCCACATCTCAGTGACATCACACCAGAGAAGTAGATTCTTGCCCATTTATTGTTTTGTTTTGGCTTTTTTGTGGCGGAGTTTCACGCTTGTTGCCCAGGCTGGAGTGCAATGACGTGATCTCAGCTCACTGCAACCTCTGCCTCCCGGGTTCAAGCAATTCTCCTGCCACAGCCTCCAGTAGCTTGGATTACAGGCATGCAGCATCACACCAGGTTAATTTTGTCTTTTTAGTAGACACGGGGTTTCACCATGTTGGTCAGACTGATCTTGAACTCTTGACCTCGGGTGATCTATCACCTCAGCCTCCCAAAGTGCCATGATGACAGGCATGAGCCACCGTGCCCATCCCCATGTAAAGTCCTACCATGATGAGAGGCATGCTGTCTTCCACATAGTCATTCAGGGGCCCTGCTGACGTGGGTTTTGCCATCATCAGCACACAGCCTTCCAAGGTATCCTGCTCTGCCAGAGAGAAAGGGGGTGAACATGAGGATCGCGTAGGAGATGCTGATGGTCCAAGCCTAGCAGCGGTGTACGCCCCTTCCTCCATATCCCCCTAGTTCAACCTCACTGCCCCACCTGGATGCAAGCAGAGATGCAAAGCCTGTCTCTGGCTTTCCAGCCACTGCAGTCCATGACACAAGGGGAGCCTGAGACTAGGTGGGCAGCAGCCATCTCTGCCATCTTGATGTGCACGCTACCTAGGGCAGACTGTGTCAGGCATGGCACTCTTGATATCTGGGCCCCGACCACTCATCCCTGTGAGGGCTTTCCTGTGCACTGCAGGACACGTCCTTAACAACATCCTGGCCTTGACCCCTCATTGTTAGTAACACTCCCAGAGCTGGCAACCAAAAGTTGCCCAGACATTGTTATCCGTGGAGGGCAAAGTCAGCCCTGGTTGAGAACCGCTGACCCAGAAAGGCTGATCATGATAATAGACAAAATACAGCAAAAGGAGCCTTTCTGGTCAAGAAAGAGAAGAAACTGGAGGTGGGAGCCTTCTTGGAGACCGAAAGAGTCCTAAGACGGGTGGGTGAACTGGAAAGCGGGCTGACCTGTGCCCGGTGTGCCCACTGGAGGCTTCCTTGAACCTGCCTCTGTGGCAGTCATGGATGTGGCATGGCTGGGGTAGCTGGGCCTGCATGGTCCCAGTGCGTGGTGCTCATGAGAGTCCTCAGCCCTGAAGCTGGCCGTGTGCCAGTCTGCAGCGTGGGAAGAGACAGGTGGGGGTTGCAGGGCTCTCGTGGGCCCAATGAGGAAAGAACAGAAGCATCGACAGGAATCAGAATCCCTCAGCCTCTGGGCTAGAAGAAATCCTACAGAACACCTGTTCCATGCTTGCACAGAAGAGGAAACTGAGGCCCACCAAGGAGGAAGCTGCATGCCCTTCATTCTAGAGCTCAGCCCCTGCCCCAACCAGAGCCCTACACGGGGAGGACCCTTCCTCCAACTCTCAGCCACCCTCACATGCCACACCAAAGGACAAGCTCCTGCAGGAAACTCCCAGGTGGGAAAATGACCTCTATCCCTGTCTTATTTTGAGCTTTTGAAATATTTTTGTCTGGCTCTGGCCCCGCCTCCTAGTGCCTCATTAGCTGGAGGTTAAAAGAGCTCTCCGGAAAAAAAAAAAAAAAAAAAAAGCGGGGACATCATTAGGGTGCCCAGGAATTGTGGGCAGGAGGGCTTGGCATCCTGCTTCCCAGAGCTGCACCAAGGGCGCGATTCTCAGCATGTGAAGCACCAAAGCCAGGAGAGAGGGGTCAAAAACCAGCACAGCCGGGCTGGGAGAGAGCAGGGCTGGAGCAGCGTTCCTGGGGAGGTTTATTTGAGAGGCTGTTTAAAACTCTGTAACATCCACCTAATGGGAAAATTTGAAAAGATATCAACTAGATTTGTCCTTGTTAAACTAACATTAAGGATGTTTAACAGCTGTCTCAGGCACATCACATTAAAATCCAGAGATATACTTGACAAACTAATGGCTTTGTTTGTCATTGGGAGAATGGGTAGAGGGAGGCCGAGCCGGTGTGGGTGGCAGTCCTGGCTCCATGGCACCCACATTCCATGGGGCCTCCAGCTTCCTGCCTGGACAAGCCCGTTTTCCCTGCCTGAAGACCTGGCCTGCCAAGGGACTGCAAGACGCAATCCCAGCAAAGGAAACTGGAGGGGGCAAACAGCCCATCACTGTACCCCAAAGCACACCAGCCTCCTTTTCCCTCCTCACCGGCCCAGCTAGTCCCACTCTTGGTTATGAGCTTCAAAGAGGTAGAAACTCTAGCCGGGGGCATGGCTCACGCCTGTAATCCCAACACTTTGTGAGGCCAAGGCGGGTGGATCACCTGATGTCAGGAGTTCGAGACCAGCCTGGCCAACACAGCAAAACCCTGTTTCTACTACAAATATAAGAATTAGCTGGGTGTGGTGGCATGCACCTGAAGTCCCAGCTACTCAGCAGGCTAAGGCAGGAGAATCACTTGAACCTGGGAGGCGGAGGTTGCAGTGAGCTGAGGTCGCACCATTGCACTCCAGCCTGGGAAACAAGAGCAAAACTCCATCTAAAAAAAAAAGAAAAGAAAAGAAATGAAGAGGAAGTAGAAACTGATACCCAGAAAGGGGACTAGAGGGAGACAGGACCCCCAGAAGTTGATGTTACAGGCGACCTGTGGCCTTTGAGTCAATCAGCCCTGAACACATTTAGGATTAGGGTCAAGCCATGGATTCTGGAATGGCCCCGCTCATTTCTAAACTCATTAGCATTCATTTGTCATTTGCTTACTCTTTCATCGTCATTCACTTATCCATGCTGACAACATTTCTTCAGTGTCTGGATGCTCATGATGCAGAAATAACCATGCACAGCCATGAAGGCTGTAACCTGGGAAAGGGCAGAATTCCAAGGGGGTACCTGGAAGTCCCTCACCCAACTTTGGGGTAGGGGCCAGGGAAGCTTCCTTTGGGTATTCTTAGCCATGAACGTGCTGTCTCTGGGTCTGATTGACAGCGTCAGCACCATGTTTAAGATTATCTGCAAAGTAAATATGGCGGGATGTAGGCAGTAAGAGGTTGGAAAGATGGGTGACAGGAGTGGCTCTGGGAGGCTGGGGACTGGGAGGTACGGTCAGGCTGCCATTTCCTACTGCCACTCCCTGGAGGTTCAGAGCCCCTCAGGCCCCTGTCAGAGGAATCCTTTCTCTCTTCCCAGAGCCATCACGCTGGAGAACACCCTTGTCATCCTGTCAACGGTGGCTCCCGATGCAGGTCGCTACTACGTGCAGGCTGTTAACGACAAGAACGGGGATAACAAGACCAGCCAGCCCATCACGCTCGCCGTGGAGAGTAAGTATGCACAGGGCCAGGACCGATCGCAGCGGGTCATTAAATCTTGGCAATGGTGCTCCAGGGGATCATTGGGAAGATGGAGTGGCAGAGGAGGGGGGCAGGGAATCTGGGGGACGGCAGCGGGGAGGCTTCCCAAGGAGGAGGAGACACAGCAGGGCTGGGAGCAGCTGAGTGCTGGAACCCATTGCCATGACCTGCCTGAGATCCTGCGTCGCTAGAGAGGATGCTTAGCATGACTGTTAGCAGGGCTACCGGGGACCCAGGGAGGGGTGGGGCAGAGGAAGAGTACATGCATGTGTGAGTTGCAGCCACCATGGGGGCCCAGATGCTGACCAGGAGGGCATGTGGGGTGATTGTAGGACTGAAGCTTGTTTTTAACAGAAATATACTAACTGCCTCTACTTGGCTGTCACATAAAAAGCGCTGTCTATATTGGGCTCCTGGTGGTCCCTGCTGATGGGAACACAGGCGCTCTGCCCAGGCTCCCACCTGAAAGTACCTCTCTCCCCAGCCTCAGACACGTGCAGCTCCCTGGGTGAAAGGGACAAAGCTGTCCCTAGAACTCACAGTGAGTCGCACATAAAAGTGTGACTCCCTCGGTGTGCTTTGGCAAAGAGACACTTGTCCTGCCAAGATTGAAGCCAGCTTTTTTGGGAGGGATGAGACGCTGGGATGTCCTTTCCAGCCTGGTTCTCCCTACCGGACCAGCCCCTCCCTCCATGCTTCACTCCCAAGACAGAGAAGGAGGGGTGGGACAGCCCAGGAGCAGCCCAAGCCTAAATCCCAGAGCACGTGGGGCGAGGCCACAGCTTCCTGCAGCGGCAGCAGCAGAGCAGTCACACAAGCTGAGGGAGGCAGATGTTCACCTCCCTCCACATCTGTACAACTTCTGCTCTCAAAGAAAGACTCATTTATCATCCACAGACACGATGGTACTCGCCCATCAGTGGCAAGATGAGGGTGTGGGCCAACCTGGGGCCTTCCTATGCTCTCCTTCTGGCGCCAGCCTCTGCTGTCAGTGCCCAGGGGGTCCAGGACATTGCCAGGCCTTGTCATCCCCATTCCAGGGCCTTTCAAACTTCAGCAGGAAACATTTCCCATTATCCCAAGGATCTCCTTCCCCTAATCAGTGTCCAGTCTGCCTAGAAGGAATTCTGAATGCAGGGAGGAGAGTTTCACGCTGGATACTGACCCATTAGGGTCACAAGTGTATCTGGATACTGACCATCACAGCCAAGGGTGTAGCCTCTGAGGTTGAGCCAGGATCTCAGTCAAGTCCCAGCAGCCTGGACACCAGCCCAACCCCTGGGGCCGCTGTTTCTATAGGAGAAGGGAATTTAGTCATCAAAGACAGATGCTTCTCCCCATATGTCTTCTGGTGATCAGATTCCCTGGAGTCTCATGGAATCCTGTCATTTGGTAAGAGGCAATGTCAAAAATACACGAGTGTCTCTTGGTCCAAGTCATCCTCCTGTGTGATTCAGTTTTCCCTGAGTCAGGCCTTCCTCTCTGTTGCCCTCCTCCAGCACCCAGCTCCTCCTCACAGGCGTTAAACTGGGCTACTCTTCCTGGCTGACTTTGGGGGTCGTTCGCTCTCTGATCCATCCCAAACCACCCCGACCCTCCAGCTGCCCCTAGGGAGGTGGGCAGGGCCCCTCTGACCCCCTGCACCCACCCGCGCCCTGCCCAGTCGCCTGCCTCTCCCACCCCACCGCCTGCTGTCACGCGATGATTTATCCTGAATTCAGAGCAGAATCCGCTGATTTTTAGCTAATTTCTCTTCCCACAAGTGGCTGCACTTGAAAACCCTGCTCCTCTCCCTGACACAAATCCCCAGCCTGCCTGCCTGCCAGCCGATTTGTAAAGAGCAATTGCTGCTGCGCCCACCACCAGCACCAGCTCCCCTCCCTCCTCTCCTGGGCCTCACCCCTCCCTCTGCTCTCCCCTCCATCCCTCCTGGACTCCTGCCTCTCTTTATAGGGACCCCGTGCTCTTCAGAACCAGAGAAGGAAGGACCAAGCCCAGTGACCCCAGAAGTTGCCCCTTGCTCAGGATAACCCCGGTGACCTCACCGGACTGTCACAGCTCCTGACAGCCCCGTGCTTGGGTGGTGACTCCGCACCCAGAGATCAGTGCGGCACTCTGTCAAAAGAAAATAGAATCTGAACCACATATGAAATTTTAAATTTTCCAGTAGCCCCATTTTTCACCAAGTAAATCTTTGACATTAATTTTATTACTCTATTTTATTTAACCCAACATAACAAGGTGTTATCTTTTTAACATACAGTCAATGTAAAGAATATTAATGGGCTATCTTACATTGGTTTTTTGCATACCAAGTCTTTGAAATCCTTGTGTATTTTACACTTATAGCACATCTCAATCTGGATGTTAAATTTTCATCCAAAATACGTGATCTGTATTTAGATATCACAAAATTTATAGCTGAAAAGTAGAGCTGTATGCACAAGTTGTTCCACACAAGCTTAAAAGTGTTCTAATAACTGAATTGGGGATCCATTCTTAATTAAATGTAAATTAGCTAAAATTAAATCACATTAAATCAAAGGGGCACCAGCCACATTGCAGGCGCTCATAGGCACGTGTGACTCATGTGGCTCATGGTCCACGTGTGGCTTGGATCACAGGGCCTGGATACCCTGGCCCCTGGGCAGCTGGAAAACAGGCATCCCAGGAGGGAGGAGTGGCTCACACCACTTCTCCGTTTGTAAATTGAGCCTCAGTTTCCCCATCTGTAAAGTGGTGCCTGTGGCAAAGTTGGGAGGATTAAATGAGGTGGCCCAGGCGAGTCGCACGGTCTCTGAGCCTCAGTTTCCCCATCTGTAAATTGGTGCTGATGGCAAAGATGGGAGGATTAAATGAGCTGATTCGGGGAGTACGGACCATGTTAGATGTCCTTTGTCATGGCTGTTAAGCAAAGTGTCTGGGACAGTGAGATCCAGTGTGCCCCCCCATGTGGGGGACCCCCTACACTTCCACCTGAGGGCCCACTCTGTGGCAGGAGCTCACGGAGAAGACACCCCTCCTCTTTGCTCGGGCTCACCTGTGATTTGCCCAAATAACCCACTTGGGCTGGGGTGACCTTCGTTTACAGTGAATCTGCTCGAGGACCACCCAGCACTGACTTCCCGGTTCCAGCCATGGCCGAGACCTAAGTGTTCTCCTGCCAAGCCCCAGTTCCCAGCCACTGGCTCATGGCAGGGGCTGGCAAGGACCGTACTGGGAGTCCTAGAGGATCTTCCTAAGCACGAGCTGGGTATCGCAAGGGGCCTCCAGGCTGAAAACTCTTGTCTCCTAGGCCATCCTTCCCAGCTTTAAGGGCTGTCCCTGCTGGAGCCTCTGTCCCGAGCATGAGTTTGCTGCCTAAACCTGGTTAGACTGTCCCCTCCCAACACTGGCTGGTCATGGGGGATACCTGCTGGGGGAGGGAGACCACTTAGCACAGTGCTCCCCAGCAGGGCACGCCTGGCCCTAGAGAGCATCCTGCTGAGGGCGAGCCCTTGCCACCCCCAGGGGTCTGTGCCATCCTCCGTGCACCTGAGCTGTCCCCTCCCACCTCCACGCCACACCAGCAACCTCCCCTTTCAGTGCTCCCATAGGCGAGGCTCTCTCCAGGCACCTGCGAAACTCACCTATCTCATCTTACAGCAATCATCAGAGGCAGGTGACCAAATTACCATCATCCAGTTTACAGGTGAGAAGAATAAGGAAACTGGGCATGAGACGCCCACCACGCACTTCCCAGCAGCATTCACTAATAGTTGGGGAAACCAGGACTGGGACCCAGGCTTCCTGGACTGCCAAGCCTGTGCCATTAACTCCTACCCAGACGGTCCCCCGGGCTCGGTCCTCGTGGAGCAAGCTCGGAAGGAAAACAGATTCCCCTCTGGGCTGCTGGCCACTGAAAGGCACCAGGTGCTACCTTCCCCATCCTGCCAGCTCCTCCTCCTTCACCACATTCTCAGTCTGAATCCCCGGCTCCAGGCTTCCGTGAGCTGTCCTGCCCTCTGGACCCTCTGCTCTGCTGGCCTCTCTCTCGGGGACCCTCCATCCCCTGAGCTTCCGGCACCTGCTGCCCATGCTCCCTCTCCCTGAAAATTCTCCCTGGCATCATCACTTTTTCCTCCTCCCTATAAGTGAGCAAGCCCCTGCCTAGTTCTCAGCCCAGGTTCCTCCCATTCTCCCTGTTTCTCTGGCTCCTCCAAATCTCACCAGTCTCCTCTGTCCCCTGACGCACCTCCATCTCTGCAAATGGCTGCGGGTCTCCATCCCCAGTGGGTCCCCTGCCTTGCATCTCTGGACATCTCTATTCAGACATCCCACCACCACCTCCAGCTCAGCCAGACAAAAGCCAAACTCAGCAGGGCACGGTGGCTCACGCCTGTAATCTCTTTGGCACTTTGGGAGGCCAAGGCAGACAGATCACTTCAGGTCAGGAGTTCAAGACCAGCCTGGCCAATATGGTGAAAGCCCATCTCTACTAAAAATACAAAAAATTAGCTGGATGTGGTGGCGCATGCTTGTAATCACAGCTACTTGGGAGGCTGAGGCAGGAGAATCACTTGAACCCAGGAGACGGAGGTTGCAGTGACCTGAGATTTCAACACTGCACTCCAGCCTGGGCGACAAAAGCGAAACTCTGTCTCAAAAAGAAAAAAAAAAAAAAGCCAAATTCTCCCCGCTTCTTTGAAAACCAGTTCCCCCTGGGCTTCCCTTTTCCTCCTAAAGGCTGCTTCCCTAGGCCTTTGGTTCCCAAACCCTCATCCATCCTGTCTTCCCATCCCCACACCGTGTTGGTTTTTCCTACCATCCCACCGCCTGCATTTCCACTGCATCCACCTAGAGCAGACCTCCAGCCCAGAGCCAGACAGAAATCGCCAGCGCTCTGGCCCTGATCGAACCTACCTCTCCCAGTAGAAGGTGGGTCTCCTCTCACAGCTCTGGCCTGTTGCTTGCACTGTGTTAAGAAGGATTCTGAGAACATGTCTAGGCTTCACCAGGAAAAGCGCTGTGACCAGTCAGCACTTCCTCGTGGAGGCAAAGGCAAGTGGTCTGGGAAGGACAGCGCGGGGCCAGGCCCGGCCACCTCTGCTCTGTGGCTGTCCTCCTCATCCACCCTAGCACTCTGAGGGCCACCCCCTATTGCGTCCACACCATCACTCACACAGTGCTCCCATGCTAGAATCCCCTCCTCCACTCACTTCCCTGAGTCCCACTCAACTCCCGCTGTCTCCCAGGAAGCCAGCCCATGAAATGCCTGAGGCCTTGCCCGGTACCCTGCGGGGCTTAACATGCAACCCCGAGCCTGTGACTCTCACCTCTCTTTAGCCGGAGTCCATCACTTGGACTAGGGCTGGTGGGGAGAGCTCTTCCCTGCACAGACAGGCACGTCTCCAGGAGGGGAGGCTGTCATTTATTGAGCACCTACTGTGTTCTAGCCACTCTGCACTCAACCCCAGGCCAGCTTAGCCGCCCCCTTCCTGGCAACCATCACGCGCGCTCTTTCATTCACTAATCCCGTGAGCATTGATCCGACTTCCTCTGGGACCTCGCCCTCAATGAGAACAGACCCCAGCCATCTCGCTTGGAGGGGAATCCCCAGTGCCTGGAACACAGCCTGTCACTGCTCTGTGGCTGTATCAAGCATTCACCCAGGAAAGATTTGTTGAGCTGGGGCCTGAATTCACACAACCCTGAGAGGCAGGGACTTTCAGTCCCATTTTGCCCCTGAGAAGACTGAAACTCAGTAGAATGAAGTCACCAGGACACCTGGGGGCAGAGCTAGGTTTTGAACCCAGGCCTTCCTCACCCCCGGGACCCCTTCTCACTGCACTAGCATCCTGGGCCACCGCAGCCACCGTCGAGCCTGGCAGGCTTCCACCTGAGCCTGAGCACAAGTCAGTCTCCCCTCCGTTCCTTCCAGAGCCAACAAGCCAGCCCGAGCCCTGGGGCAGCCCTCGTATTTTTAAACTCAGAACTCGCCTTCCTCGAGGGCTCCCTGTTTACCTGGCTGTGCTGCACGGCACCCTGGCTGGAGCTCTAACTGTCTGTCTCCTCCTCGTGCCCCATTAATCTGAGCCATGGTACCTGCGCGCCCCGCATGTAATAAACAACTTAGAGCGCACTTTTATGGATTCGGCTATATCAGCAGCTTTCAATCCGATCGCTCTTTATGGCACCTACATGAGGCTTTTATATTGTTGCAATGATTTTGCTTTATATGCTTCCTTTCTTTCCCCCTTCATTTTACTTTATTTTTTACATTTCATTCCCATTCTTCCTGGGCCTTTTCTAGCAAGGCCTGGAGTCAAGGAAGGAAAGCCTGCCCGGGCTGACAAGGTGGCCCAGAGTGGCAGAGGGGCCACTGTGCACCCTCCCCCGGCCCCATAAAGAACAGCCTGTCACTGTCACCCCGAGGCCCGGCATGTCATCGTGGCCTACTACCTCCAGAACCTTCTGGAAAGGGGCCAACTGGATGGATTTGTTGTGGAGAAAACCATCCTCAGAGATTGTATTTTCAGGAGCCGTGGATCAGGCGTATTGGAGTTTCTGCCAATATCGGGCCTACACTTACCCACCGAGATAAAAAACCTGGCTTCTACTTTAAAAAAAAAAATCCTCAAAAAATATAAAAAGGAAATGCTACCACCTCTATTCAAAGAGTTGGGAGTGTTTCTTTTTTTTTTTTTTTTTTTCCAACAAACCCACTTATGGGAAGTTCTTGTTCATTTCAATCATCGACCATGGAAGTCGCAGGATGGTAACACTAGTACCATTCACGTGCTGACATAACACATGTATTTGAGCACTCACTGTGTACCAGGCATCCTTCTTCGTGCTGGAGGAGTGGTGGTCGTCGAGACTGCATGAGTCAGCTCATGGTGCTGTAACAAAGCACTGCAGCTGGGGGCTTCTGAAGCGGACATTTGGGCTCCCACCGTCCTGGAGCCTGGAAGTCCCTGGTCTGGGAGCCGGCACGGTCTGCCTCTCTTCTCAGCTTGCAGATGTCTGCCTTCCCGCCGTGTCCTCACATGCTGGAGACAGAGAGAGCTCTGGGCTCTTCCTCTTCTTACAAGGTCATGAATCCAAAATACAGAAATACGTACACCTAACAAGTACCTGGAAACTTGCTTTCTGAGAGTTTCATTAACTCTTTAATTTCATTCAGTGGGAGAATTAAGGGTTAGATGCTTTTCTAAGCTAAAGTTTACACTATGTTAAGAGAACATTTTTCTTTTTCCCTGGGACCCTCATTGGTCCTCATGAGGCCTGACACTCATCTAATCCTAATCACATCCCAAGGGACCCCTCCAAATGCCATCACATTGGGGGTTAAGGCTCAACATATGAATGGGTGGGGGGCACGGTTCAGTCCACAGCAAAGACCTAGGTTCCTGGTCAGGGAGAATTTTAGTCTCGTATGGCCTGCGCAATGAAGTGCTACCATCTGAGCGGCTCACAACAGAAACTGAGCCTCTCACAGTCCGGAGGCCGGAAGACTGAAAATCAAGCTGTCGACAGGGCCATACTTCTCTGAAGATTCTAGAGGAGTCTCCTTTCTTGCCCCTTCCTGGCTTCCAGCAGTGGCCAGCAATGCTTAGCATTCCTTGGCTTGTGGCCACATCCCTCCACTCTGCCTCTGTCTTCACAGAGGCTTCCGACCTGTGCATCTGTGTCTCAATTTCCCTCTTCTTACAAGGACGCCAGTCTTATTGGGACTTGAGCCTACCCTGATCCAGTATGACTTCACCTTAACTAATGACACTGTAATGATCCTATATCCAAATAAGGTCACATTTACGGGCACTGGGTGGGCATGAATTTGGCAGGAGGTGTGTGTGGGGGGGTAGGGAGGTAACTCTGTTTGACCAAGTACAGAGTTTGCATTCTGGTGGAGAAAGTGGACAGTGCAGAACTAAACCAACAAGGTACCCCAGGCAGAGGGAAGGATTTCAAAAGGAATGGAACAGGACAGGGTGGTGGGGGGGAGAGGGATGTGTGGCTGCTTTACAGGAGGGATGAAGAAGGCTGTTAAAGTCAGGGAAGTCTCTCCTTGGATGCTGGTGTGGTGACTCATCAACAGAGGAGGAGGAATCAGGGAGTCCCTGGGGTCAGTGTCTGGAGGTCTGCTCTGGGGCTGCCCCAATAGTCCCCTGCTCTACTTGGTGAGACAAAGGCCTCCCAGGGCATCAGCCTCTAATGAGGCCAGGCAGGGATAGAATTTCCAACCTCTGCCTCCAGCTAACATCTGCTTTCTCCCCAGATGTAGGGGGACCTGCAGACCCCATCGCACCCACCATCATCATCCCACCGAAAAACACCAGCGTGGTGGCCGGGACCTCAGAGGTCACCTTGGAGTGTGTGGCCAACGCCAGGTGGGTAGTGCCTCTTCCCTTGCTCCTGCACCCCTAACTCCATCTGCTTCCCCCAAACTGCGGGCTCCAGGGAGAGCAGCCAGAAGCCATGTCACCTGAGGATTCAGGATGGCAGAAGAGGGATGCAGATGGCTTTTGTCAGAGCGTTGCTGTGTGCAAGCCAGGCCAGCTCATTTTCTGTAGCCCACAAAGAGAAAAACAGGCCCTAGGTGGAAGTTATAGGGAAGGGGACATTAGCCTGGGACATACAGGACTGGAGGGAGGGTGGACTCACTTCCAACCCTTGGAGGATCCCAGAGGGAGCAGGTGGCCTTTCAAAGCAGAGCCCTCTTGCATGGGGGGGTGTGCAGGAGGGAAGTGTGCATGGGAGACGATTCACATGGTGGTTAAGAGTACAGGCTTCGGGCGAGGTGGCTCACGCCTATAATCCCAGCACTTCGGGAGGCTGAGGCGGGCAGATCACCTGAGGTTGGGAGTTCAAGACCAGCCTGACCAACATGGAGAAATCCTGTCTCTACTAAAGATAAGAATTAGCCAGGCGTGGTGGCACATGCCTGTAATCCTAGCTATCTGGGAGGCTGAGGCAGGAGAATCACTTGAACCCAGAAGGCAGAGGTGGCGGTGAGCTGAGATTGCACCATTGCACTCCAGCCTGGGCAACAAGAGCGAAACTCCATCTGAAAAAAAAAAAAAAAGAGTTACGGGCTTTGTAGGAGGGCAGATCAGGGATCGGGAGCTACCAGGGCCCTTCCCAGCCATGTGTGGCCCTCACCTGTCCTGCAAAGGAAACAATTATGTAACCTCTGAGTCTCATTACGTGCAGCTAAGTGCCTTCCCACACCACCTCCTTTCTCCCAAAACAACTGCGTGGCAGAGGTATCACCACTCCAGAGCCCAGAGAGGGTAAGCAGCCTGCCCAACGTCACCCAGCTGGATGATAGCTGAGTTGAGATCCACTGCCCCCTCCCCCCAGGCCTGTACTCACTGCCACACTCTGGGCCTTAGTCTCCACATCTGTAAGATGGAAATGATTCGAGCACCAACCTCAGTGGAAGGCGCGGAGGCAGTGCGCTGACCCAGCCTAACCTGACCCTTCCTAAAAGCACTGTGAAGTTAAACCAATGGGATGGCTGGGGGGTTAGACTGATGATCTCCCCAAGGTCCCCTTGACCTGAGCCTTTCTGGAGAAAGACAGCGTGTCGTGTAGCAGCATTTCTTTCTTTTTTTTCTAAGATGGGGTCTCACTGTGTTGCCCTGGCTGGTCTCAAACTCCTAGGCTCAAGTAATCCTGCCTTAGCCTCCAAAAGTGCTGGGATTACAGATGTGAGCCACCATGGCCAGCCTTTTTCTGTTGTTACTGTTTTTAGCAGCATTTCTAAAAGTATGCTGTTCTAATCCCAAGTTTCTCACAAGCATGATGTATTAGCCCATTTGCAGTGCTATAAAGGAATACCTGAGACACAGTAATTTGCAAAGAAAAGAGGTTTATTTGGCTCACAGCTCTACAGGCTTTACATAAACCATGGCACCAGCATCTGCTGCTGGGGAGGCCTCAGGGAGCTTCCAATCATGGCGGAAGGAAAAAGGGGAGCCCGTGTGTCTTATGGCAAGAGAAGTAACGAGAGAGGGGAGAAGGAGCGAGGGTGCTTTAAATAACCAGCTCTCACATGAGCTACAGAGTAAGAACTCACTCTGGGCTGGGCACGGTGGCTCACGCCTGTAATCCCAGCACTTTGGGAGGCCAAGGTGGGCAGATCATGAGGTCAAGAGATCGAGACCATCCTGACCAACATGGTGAAACCCCGTCTCTACTAAAATACAAAAATTAGCTGGGTGTGGTGGCACACATCTGTAATCCCAGCTACTCTGGAGGCTGAGGCAGGGGAATCGCTTGAACCCGGGAGGCAGAGGTTGCAGTGTGTCAAGATCATGCCACTACACTCAAGCCTGGTGCCTGGCGACAAAGCGAGACTCTGTCTCAAAAAAAAAAAAAAAAAAAAAGAACTCACTCCATCACCAAGGGGGTAGCACCAAGCAAGTCACAAGGGATGTACCCCCATGACCCAGCACCTCCACCAGGCCCCACCTCCAACATTGGGGATCACACTTCCACGTGAGACTTGGAGTGGACACACATGCAAACCCCAGCACATGAGCAAGGCCACCAGGATGCAACTGTGCAGCAAAGGCCCTAAGAAGCCCCGCAACAGAGAACCTGCCCGATGTCACTCAAGCGACTGTCACTCAAGCCGCTGTTTCCCAAATGTAGGCAGCCACAGAGCTCCTTCTCCAGGGGGCCCCTCTGAACACCCCATGGTGCTAGCAGGGGCCCACTTTGGAAGATCCGCCCTCAGGGACCCAGCAGGTGCTAAACGGGAGAGCCTGGGCAGACCAAGTCTCGGAGGGTTGGGAGTGCAGGGGTTGGTTTAGAGGAAATCCAGGCCAGACTCATACCTTTGCTCTTCTCTCGCAGTTGCGGGGTGGGTTTTTCTGTCTGTCTGGTCTGTCCTTATTTCCCCTTTTCAAACTCTGGGTATTTCATGTTTCTGTCACTTGCCCTCACCCTCACGTCCTCCATGTTGTGGTTGGATGGGGCACAGCACACAAGGAAAACCAGAAAAAGGAGCTGCAAGCCAGGCCGCTTTCCTGCTTTGCCTGAGCTGCCAAGCCCAGGCAGGACCGAATCCCAAGTCCATCAGCAGGCCCTGTTCCAAGCACTCCACTGGCACCAGTGCATTCATCTTAGCTACAACCCCCTGGGCAGGCACAGATGCACCCACTTTACAGAAGAGGAAACTGAGACCCAGATCCCTGTAGGAACTTGCCTGAGATCTTCTACCCACAAAGTGGCAGGAAGGTGGCAAACCCAGGCAGCCCGGCTCCCGAGCTCACACTCCTTGCCACCCCCAGCCCTGCCTCTCTGGCCTCCGGGCGTCCTCCTGGCTGAACACTGACCTTCCCCTACCCTCCACAGGCCCCTGATCAAGCTGCACATCATTTGGAAGAAGGATGGGGTGTTGCTGTCAGGCGGCATCAGCGACCACAACCGCCGGCTCACCATCCCCAACCCCACCGCCAGCGACGCCGGCTACTACGAGTGTGAGGCTGTCCTGCGCAGCAGCAGCGTCCCCTCTGTGGTCCGGGGCGCCTACCTCTTTGTGCTGGGTGAGACAGGGTGGGGTTGCTCGGGCTCCCCTGAGGGGTAGGGGTAGCACAGCGAGGGGCCTCCTTAAGGGTGACCCACACCGTGGCTGGATGAAGGGAGCGTGGCTCTGATCCCCTCCCCTGGTCCTTCCTCCAACAGAACCGCCTCAGTTTGTCAAGGAGCCAGAAAGACACATCACTGCAGAGATGGAGAAAGTGGTGGACATCCCCTGTCGGGCCAAAGGTAATGAGGTAGCACAGATGGAGGGGGACAGGGACCCCAGACCCTCAGCCTCTCTCGTCCTTGTCATGGACATTTCCAAATCCCAGCTTCTTCTCATCACCGTGTCACTAAGCAGAGTCTGCCTGTCTGTCTTGTCTGAACAGGCACCCCAGGAAACAAACAGGCCAAATTACCATAATCTCAGGCTGGAGATCAACCTTTACGGTACCATAACGCGAGGGTTACAAATGAACCCAAATTACCATAATTTCAGGACGGGTGACAGACCCAAATTGCCCATAATTTGAGAGCCATAGACAATGCCAAATTACTGTAATGCCAGAACCAGCAGCCCCCGAACGCGCCTCACCTGAGATGTGTTTTATAAGCTCGGCCTGTTTCCTTGGCCATTTCGCTCCATCTTCTCTGCCGGCTCCCTCCGCTATTCCTACTTAACCCCCCCTTGGAAGAGTTCCTGAAGAATTTCTGCTTTCCCCTTCCTCACCGTCCTTCCTTCTGATTCAGTTCCACCAAAAGACAGCGGCAGCCAGGGTGAAATCTGGGATGATAAAGAGAGAAGGGCTTGCACAGTGGGGCACGCTGAGCAAAGGGGCACAATGTGACTCCGCAGGAATGAGAATTGCGCTGGCGGGGGTTGAGTAATGACTTCCCTTCTGAGACTCCACGAGGGGAAGGCAAAGATCCATCCATCCAGGCAGCAAATATTTTTTGAGGGCTTACCATGTGCCGATAGCGTCCTCAGGAGTCGGGAGATACGGAATAAACCAAACAGCCAGATCCCTGCTCGTGGAGAATGTAACATTCTCAGGAGGGAGACGGGAAGGCCGATAAACAAATAAAGATACCTTATTTCATTTCATCTAAAATGCCGTGGGTTGTAAGATGCCCCATTATTTTATGTACCACTAAGAAAGAAAAAAGGCAGCCAATTAAATTATGACATCCTGTCGATTATAAGACACATCCTGATCTCGGAGACGTGACTGAGGGAAAGAGCACATGGTGGAATGAAGCATCGCAGGCTGTCAGGATGAGGGAGTCCTGGGGAGGGAAGGCAAGCAGGCTTAGTGGGGACGGGGCCGTGGGGTACTCCTTGGGACAGGGCGTGGTCCACTCTTCCGGGGAGGTCACTTTTGAGCAGACATCTGGAGAGACTAAGGGGAGGGCTGGGGGAATTTCTTTTTTTTTTTTTTTTTTTTTTTTTTTTTTTTCCTTTTTTGTTGATATGGAGTCTTGCTCTGTCACCCAGGCTGGAGTGCAGTGGCACGATCTTGGCTCACTGCAGTCTCTGCCTCCCAGGTTCAAGCGATTCTCCTGCCTCAGCCTCCCCAGTAGCTGGAACTACAGGTGTGCTCCAGCATGCCTGGCTAATTTTTCTATTTTTAGTAGAGACAGGGTTTACCATGTTGGTCAGGTTGGTCTCAAACTCCTGAACTCAAGTGATACACCCGCCTCAGCCTCCCAAAGTGCTGAGATTACAGGTGTGAGCCACCTCGCCCAGCCTGGTTAGGGGAACTTCTGAAAACAACATGCCAGGCTGAGAGGGCAAGAGGAGCCTCCTTTCACCTCCATGTGCAAAGCAGGTATGGGGGCTTCCAAGTGCCCCCAGAGAACACTGGATCCTCTATGTACTCTTCAACACAGGCCGCCATGGGTTTGGGGAAGCATCCCCTACTTGGGGGTTCCCAGATCACACGTGTCTGCTAAGTACTTCAATAAAAAATAAGAAATTAGGACAGGTGCAGTGGCTCACGCCTATAATCACAGCACTTTGGGAGGCCGAGGAGGGTGGATCGCCTGAGGTTGAGAGTTCGAGACCAGCCTGACCAACATGGAGAAACGCCGTCTCTACTAAAAATACAAAATTAGCCTGGCGTGGTGGCATATGCCTGTCATCCCAGCTACTGGGGAGGCTGAGGCAGGAGAATCACTTGAACACAGAAGGTAGAGGTTGCAGTGAGCCGAGATCATGCCACTGCACTCCAGCGTGGGCAACAAGAGCGAGACTCCGTCTCAAAAATTAAAAAAATAAAAAATAAATAAGAAATTGGCCCAGGTGCAGTGGTTCATGCCTGTCATCCCTGCACATTGGGAGGCTGAAGTGGGAGGAACGCTTGAAACCAGGAGTTCTAGACCGACCTGGACGATGTAGTGAGACCCCCATCTCTACACAAGTAGAAATAAAAATAAAACAAATCAGAAATTAGTTTGTCCAATCCACATTTCCATGCTGCGCTGATCCCAGGATATTTACTATATCCCAAAGACTTTGAGAATTGCCACTCTAGGAGCATCCTCCCCTCATCCCAAGACCCAAAGTGGCACCTCTGAGAAGGTTCTAGACACCCAGATTTTCCAGCCCAGCCTCCACCCAAGCACCCCTGGGAGGCGGCGAGGAGGCAGGAGGCGGGTTGACGGTGGACCCATGTCTCCCCCACAGGTGTGCCACCGCCCTCCATCAGCTGGTACAAGGACGCTGCAGTGGTGGAGGTGGAGAAGCTAGCCCGCTTCCGGCAGCGCAGCGACGGGGGTCTGCAGATCAGCGGCCTGGTGCCCGATGACACCGGCATGTTCCAATGCTTCGCCCGCAATTCGGCCGGCGAGGTGCAAACTTCCACCTACCTGGCTGTCACCAGTAAGTCGGGCCTCCCCTGTTCTGCCCCTGAGTCCTTCTTCCCAGGACGCGGCTTTCTTCTGAGGTCTTCCAAGGGGCCTCTTGAGCACAGCACACTCCATTATGCCGACAGGATCCTCAAAATCTGCCCGCTGCCCAGCACCCTGGGGGCACACGCCAGTTACCCCTGCTGCTTCTGCAGCCTTGAGTCCAGCCCCCTGGAAGAAATCTCCAGTCCCTAGTTCTCTCCAATGTCCTGGGGCCCAGGTTGGGTTCGTGGCTTTTTGAGAAAAAGAGCTACGAAACCAACCAGGGGTACCAGCCCTGGCATTTCAGCTGTCCCTGGGTTCCAGGCAGGGCTGAATCGACCCCATTCCCTAGCCCAGAGGACCTGCTCATGTTTCCAAAGAAGAGAATCAGTGCTTTCCTCTTAGTTCTCCCGCTTGCAAATCCCTTTCCCCTTGGAGTCTCTGTCAGGGATGGTCACAGCAGCCCTGGCCACTTCACAGAGCTGTTTTAGCCATCAAAGGTGATCCTGCGGGCTGAGCGCGGTGGCTCACACCTGTAATCCGAGCACTTTGGGAGGCCTAGGCGGGTGGATCACTGGAGCCCAGGAGTTTGAGACCAGCCTAGGCAACATGGCAAAACCTTGTCTACCAAAAATACAAAAAATTAGCCAGGCGTGGTGGCACACACCTGTTCTCCCAGCTACTTGGGAGGTGGGAGGACCGCTCAAGCCCCGGAGGCAGAGGTTGCTGTGAGCTAAGATGGTACCACTGCACTCATGCCTAGGTGACAAAGTGGGACCCTGTCTCAAAAAAAAGGGGGGGAGGGGGGGAAGATGATACTATGAGTGGCCCACAAGTGCAAAGTTCTGCGTAAGTGCAGAGCACAGTGCGCTCCTCGGGGCAGCACAGGATGTTCAGGGGTCTCCTTGAGCCTCACAGTGTTTGTTACCCAGACCCACAGAGGCCTCAGACAGGGCAGCCATGGGGCAGGGGACTTTTGGGTGTGCCCCGAAGGTGGCTACCAAGGGGGAATTTCTTGCTTCTGGCTTCCCAGCGCGGGTGAACTTAGCTCTGTTCCCATGCCCGTCTGGCAAGCTCCTTCCTTGAGGGCTGGGATAAGGTGAGGGGAGCACAGAGCCAGGAGACTGTCCCGACCCTACCTGGTGGCCAAGGCTGAATGGAGCTCCTGGGGCAGGGCTGCTTCGAAAGTGACTGAAGTCCCCCTCTTGGCTGCGGCTGTTTTTCTTTTAAGAAGTCAGAGCCTTGCTTTCGTTTTTGGCTCATGAACCCCAATAACCTTGTCAGGGAGGATGTGACCTGCCCTCTGGGTTCTTCAGTTTCCCCCAAATGCAGGCCTGAGAATCCAAGCAGGGTGGCACTGGTGTCACCTGGGTCCCACCACAGGGCAGGTGGCATAGGGGAGTCCTCATGGCCCCTTGGGCTTCTTTTCAACACTGGGGCCCCATCAAGATGCCAACATCCTTCCTCATGGAGGGCCCCTCACCCTGGCAGGGGAAGATGAGGGCCTGACCCTCGGTGGGCATAGGGGTCCCTGACCCTCTGGCTTGGGGCGCTGCTTCCAGGCTGTGGCTAAAAGGCCCCACTTCTCTGTTTGCAGGCATCGCCCCCAACATCACCAGAGGCCCCCTGGACAGCACGGTGATTGACGGCATGTCAGTGGTGCTAGCATGTGAGACCTCGGGGGCGCCCCGGCCAGCGATCACTTGGCAGAAAGGTAGATGGGACAGACCTTCAGAGAGTGTGGCCATGTGATTGCCTAAGACAGTCTTCAGAACTAGGTTCTGTGGCTAGCCAGGTTGGGTTGCCCATGTACACTTGCGAAGGTCGTGCACTGCACAACCCAAGAGAGCATCTCAATGGGGCACGGTGGCTCGTGCCTGTAATCCCAGCACCTTGGGAGGCTGAGGCTGGCAGATCGCCCTGAGGTCAGGAGTTCAAGACCAGCCTGGCCCAAAGTGCTGAAACCCCATCTCTACTAAAAATACAAAAATTAGCCAGGCGTTGTGGCAGACACCTGTAATCCCAGCTACTCAGTGGGCTGAGATAGGAGAATCACTTGAACCTGGGAGGGAGAGGTTACAGTGAGCCAAGATGGCACTATTGCACTCCAGCCTGGGCAACAGAGCGAGACTCCATCTCAAACAAAAAAAAGAGAGAGAGAGAGTATCCCTCACATCCCAGCCTTGCCAGGCTCAAGGCCCAGCTCTTCATCTTCCAAGACCTGCTACCTGGATGAGTTATTAACTCACTCTGAGCCTCAGGTTCCCCATCTGTAAACTGGTGACGATAATATACGTACCCCAGGGTGACGTGAAGACTAGACTGTAGCGTGCACATGAGGGGCCTGCGTTGTGCCTGGGAGGCTGGGAAGCCCAGGAAGGGGTAGGCGCTTGATGATGAATCTTATTCTGGCGGTGGCTGTCACCAGTGCAGGTAGGAGGCCCTCCCTTCTACCCTGAGCAGCTCAGAGGGCTCCAGACGGCGAGGCCAGCAAAGCCCAAGCCACCTCCCCAAGTCCATCTGCCCTGTTTGCTTCCTCTTCTGCGTGCTTCCTCTTCTCCCCTTCATGACTCTCCCCGTGCACACACACACACACATACACACACACACATGCATACAGGTGCACACACACACGTGACAACACAGTTACTCCTTCACACCTGCAAGCCCCGGCTCAGAGGTGTCTCCTTCAAGGACTCGCCCTGCCCCCAGCCCTCCCCTTGAGCCCTGCCTCCCCCAGCCCTCCCCTTCAGCCCTGCC